ATATATATATTTATATATATATATATGCTTATATAAAGAATAATAGATTTTTAATTGTTTATTTTTGTTTTATCAAAGTACTTTTATTAATAATAAATATATATAAATCATAATCAAAAACGAAAACTACAATTTTTATTATTATTTTATACAAAATTAAAATTTATATATTTTGTATATAATTATATTTTAAATAATGAAATAATTTTTTTTAAGTAAAAAAATTAAGGATAAAATGTAACATTATTATTATTTTTAATATACTTTTATATTTGTTTATGAAAGTATAATTAAAAAAAATTATTTCATTATTTACATAAGAACATATTAGTAACAGGTCAAAACGGTGATAATATTATTTTTTCTTACAGTGTCTTATTTATAATAGATTAATAAATATTATCAACTAAAAATAAAAAAGAAAACATCTAAATAATAATATATATATCTTTATTTGTTATCTTGAATAATATTAGAAAAAGAAAAAAAAAAAAAATATTAAATTTTTTTTTTTTTTTTAATTTTCATTAAGAAAAATTTTTAGAAAAAAATAATATATTTTAATGAAGTATATGAATAACTATATTTCTAAAATTTATAATCTTTATTTTCTTTTAATTTTCTTTGTTCTCTAAGCATAATAAGATATTCTTCTCTTATAACATCTCGAAAGTCTTCTATACCTAAAAAAAAAAAAAAAAAAATTTTTAATTCTAATTGAAACACCATTCCTATTATGATTTTATTTCATTTAATTTTTATTTTTTTCTCATTTTTTTTTTTTTTTTTTTTATTTTCATTTAAACCTTGTTCAAAAGCTTTTATTACAGCTAGTCTAGTTGGAACGTGAACATTTTGGTGAACAATTTTTCTCAATTCTTTATTTTCAGGTGTTAAGGCGCATAAATTTTCCCATTCTAAGTTTACATCATAAACATAATAATTATATTTGTCATTATAAACACATTCTGTTATTATTTGCATAATATTATATTCATCATATTTTGGAAATAACCCAGGAGCACATTCTCCTCCATATTTTTCTTGTAATATTTTATTCTCTTTTAAAATTTTACATTTTGTCCAAAAAACAGAAGGTAATCTATATTGTAAAGTTCTACCTCTTGCATAAAAAATTTTTATTTGTGTATGAATATTCGCTTGTAAAAATATTTCAAATAATGGCATTTTTACATCTAATTTTAAATTTACTATTTCTACTTTTTTACCAAATTTCTCTTTAACTTTACTCACTAAACTATCCATCTTGTTCTTATCATTTTCCATGAGTTTGCAATATGGACCTAATTATTATATACAAAATAATATATATAAAATAATATATATAAAATAATATATACAAAATAATATAGACATAATAATATATACATAATAATATATACATAATAATATATACAAAATAATATATACAAAATAATATATACAAAATAATATATATAAAATAATATATACAAAATAATATATACATAATAATATATACATAATAATATATACAAAATAATATAGACATAATAATATATACATAATAATTTATATATATTTAACCTATTTTAGGAGTTACAAAATATAAAATATTTTTTTGTTTATTTTTTTGAATTTCATAGTTACAATGATTTATTAAACGTGTCTGTCTCATTATATCTAAAACCTTTTCTCTACTCTCATGAGATAATTTATAATCATCAACATTCCTTCTTTCATCTTCTGTTTTATTTCTTATTTCTTCTTTTATTAGTAAATCTTCCCATGTTTCAACTGGAGGTAATGCAGGTATATATCTAAAAAAAAAAAAAATCTTTGTATATATATACATATATATATATATATATATATATATTTTTTTTTTTTTTTTTTTTTTTTTTTTTTGTGTGTTTACTCATCTTCTGTAAAATATTTATAGTCATCTATTTCTTCATGTGATTTTAATTTAAATAATAATTTCTTATATTTATGTTTTTTTAAACAAAATACTCTCTTGAAGTGTGGTTTTATTATAAAACCTCCTTTATAAAAAATATAATTTTCAACATAATTATCAAAAAGTATAAATAATAATAATAATAATAATATTTTTATATTTACATATTTGAAATAATGTAACATTATATTTTTTTAAATGATACAAAAATAAAATAGGAAAATTTTACATTTTAGTTTTATTTAAACATAAAATATTAAAACATACATGTTTTATACTTTATTATTTATATATAATATATTTATATATATTTAAAAAAAAAGAAAAAGATAATTAATATTTCATTTGTTCCCTTTTTCCTTTTTACTAACTTTATTTTTTAAAAAAAAAAAAAAAAAAAAAAAAAAAAAAAAAAGCAATTTTCTCAAATTACAACAAAAACACATTAAATAATATTATTGTAATCTTAATAAAGTTTCTAGAAAAATTATAAAAAAAAAAAAAAAATAATAATAAAATAAATAATGAATTAATTCTTATATATACAAATATTTATAAAATATAATTTTTTTTAAAAAATTCATTAAAATTAATTCTAAATATTTATAATTATTTACCGAAAATAAACACAATAAAATTTATTAAAAAAAAAAAAAATATACACATATAAATATATATATATATATATATATATTATTAAAAACATATATTTTTATTATTATGCATATTAATTTATTGTAAATGTATATATTCAACCTATTAAAAAAAATATTAATAATGAATAAATATAAATTAAAAAAAAAAAAAAATATTGAATCTTATATATTCTTAAAACAAAAAATATATATATATATATATATATATATATATATATATATATATATATATATATATATATATATATATATTTTTCTTTATGGAAATAAATAGATAATTTTTAAATGTGTCAAAATTTATAAATTGTTGTTATCATTGTTCTTTATGTAATTTATACTGAATTAAAACATTTTTGAAATATTCAGAATCATCTTGTTTTAATAAATCAGTTATGATAGCTTGAATATCAAATAAGTGTGAATTCTCTACATTTTGAAATAACATTATAAAAAATTTTACACTATCAATATCTAAAAGTTCTTTAAATGATGTATTTTCATTAATATTAAAAATATTTTTTTGTAAAAGAAAATAATTTTTACTTATTCTTGTAATTGAAGACGAAAAGATATTTAAAAAAGAATTTAATTCTAGTGGATCATTTTTCATAAATAAATTCATTTCTCCAATAAAAACCTCTACTTTTTCTTCAGTGTTTTCATTAAATATGTTGTTAATATTCTCTTTATTTTCTTTATATTGACGTAATATTAAATTATGTGGATTAAATAATATGAATGTTTTAAAAACACTCTTAATAATATGAATATAAAAATGAAAATAAGATGAATTAAAAGTTAATTTAATAATTGATTCTGATATTTCTACAAGAGAATTTAAACATTTTTTTATTATATCACAATCGTAATAATTTAATAAATATTCAATAGTAGGTAAAAAGGAATTCAATAATATATTTTGATTATTACTGTTTATATTATTATCATATATATTTTGATAAAATACTTTATCATTATTATTCTTAAAATCATTTGGAATTACAAATAAATTTTTACATATTTTTAAAAAATTCATTATATAATTTTTGTTATTATATAAATAATCATAATACATTATGTAATCATCTTCGTTAATATTTATTTTAATATTTAGTTCTGAATTTACTTTTTTTATATGTTCATATTCTTCTCTAATATAAAGAAAATTTTTTTCCATGAATTGAGAAAATATTTCAAAATACCATTGAATTATTAATTCATTTATTATTTTGTGATTTATTAAATATTTCACCTGATCGCTCAAACATAAATAAACAGATAAAACATTAATGTTAATATAATAAAAAGACATAAATCTAAAACTATTAGATAAAATATTATTAAATATATGAATACAATCATTATATAAAAATAAATAACCTTCTTTAATGAATTTCTTAATTATATTACAAATGTTTTCATGTAATAGTTTAAAAGTGAAACCAGATTTTTTATTTCTATTAATATTATTAAAATCATTATTAGAATTGCTACTTTTATTATTTAAATTATATAAGCTAAAAATTTCTTTTTCATTCTCATCTAAATGAAAATAACTTACATCCAAATAACAATTTGGATACTTTTGAAAAGAAATATTATTATTTATCATATAAATAAAAAGAGAATTAATACATAATATATTTGTAAAAAGGTCTATTGAAACTTGTAAAAGTTCATTCTCATTTATTAAAGAAATATTACTATTCATTAATTGATACATATCTCTTTCTTTAATATTAATATTGTTTTCCTTATTTTGATCATAGAAATTATTTACATTTTTCTTTGCACTATTTTTTATTTTATGAAGAATTTTATAATATGAAAATAAGGAAAAGTAACTATTAACTATTTTAAATATATCAAATAATGAATGAGATGTTTCTATTTTTTTATCCATATAATCAATATTTGCAAAAAAAGTATCATAAAATTTATCAAAATTTGTTATATTTTTATTGAAATCAGTTAAAAAATCGTAAGTGTCTTGTAATGCTAACTTAACGTAAATGACTTTTTCATTCACACAATCAACCTTTAATATTGATATTAATGTTAAGAGAAAAATACAAAATTCTTTATTATATTTAAAAGTAACTGTTGACTTATTATATTCTAAAAATGTGTTCAAAATTTTTTCTATCATTTCATTTGTAAGAAAATTCTCTAAATTTATAATTATAGATGTAAATATAGCTATATATTTTTTTTTTAATTCAAAGGAATTTTCTGAATTATTTTGCATGATATTTTTCATCAAATTATCCATCATAAAAAATGCAAAATCCTTATTATAATTTAAAATATAAGCAGTTTCTGAAATAAAATGTAACCTTTTTGATTCAAAGAGAACAAAATTATCTGATATTTTTGCAAAATCAGTGAAATCCTTTTGTAAAATTATTTTATAACAATTCAATAAATTATCTATGCATTTATTACATATTTCATAATAGGGAGAACATTTATATTTTTCTAAACATTTAATTAGAAATAATTCCAAGTCAATATATTCTTTTTTTTTTTTTAATTCTTCTTTGTTTTCAACAATCATTTCATTTTTATTAAAGGAAGAAAAATTGTTAAATGCATTGTTGTTTTCTTCTTCTATATTTAATTCTACAATTTTATTTTCAATAGAATCCCTTAAATTAATTTTATTTTGTATATATGCATCTCTTGTATTTTTTTCATTATCTATATTACTTAGCTGATAAGATATAATATTTGTAATTATTTCTTTATTATCTTCAGTAATTAATCTTTTTGATTCTTTTAATATATCAACAAAATTTTTTAATAACTGATAATATGTTCTTAATAAAACATAAATAAAATAATCCTGTACTTTCATTGTTTCATTATATAAATTAGAAATATTTATATTTTTATAAAATTTAAAAAACTCACAAAAAACTTCTATTATGATATGAAATACTTCATGGTTTAAAGTTACTAATACTTTCATTAAACTGATGATTTTTTGTTTTAAATTATTTTTATTATTATCATTATTATTATTATTATCATTATTATTATCGTTGTTTTGATAAAATTCCATATCTTTATAATAGGCATCAAACCATTCTATATTATATTGATTTACATAATTATTAAAAAATTCTATCATCAACTTTTTATTTGAAGAATTTTTTTCTCTATATATGGGTATTTTAATAAATCTTATAAACATTAGAATAATTAATTTCTTTAAATCATCATAAGTTATAATAAATTGATTATTAAATGTTTTCTCATTATTTATGTTTAATAAACTTTCTTTATCCGTTTTATATATATTATATATATTGCTTTTAAATTCACTTTCCTTATTTTTAATATAAATCAAATCTTTGTTATAATCAAATATATTTTTACATATTGTTAATATATTTATTAAAATTTTTACATTTGGGTGATATATATTTTTAAATATATTTAGAATATATATGTGTAAACATTTTAATTTATTTTCTCTTTTGTGTAAATAATTAGATATAGGTATAAAAGATAAATTTAAAATCATTTTTATATATGTTTTTTGAAAGATATAATTATTAATATCATAAAAATTTAAATTTATATTGAAATAATTATACAAAAATTGCATTAATTCATTTTCTTTTAGTTGAAAAAAAGTTTTGTTATTTATTTTTGATATATATTCTATTATATTTAAAAAAATTATTAGTAAATTTTCTACTATATCAATATTTTGTAAAAAATTAAATGGTGTATATTTTAATTCATTTAAGAAAAAATAATTTTCATATAATTTATAAAAATCATCTAATGTTAATACGTTATTATTAACACCATTGTAATTATTATCATTTCTACTAATATTATCATAAGTGTCATTGTTAGAATTTTTTGTAAGATAAACAACTAACAAATTTAATAAAAATTTAATTGGTGAATTAGATTCATTAAAAAATATATATGCTGGTAAAAAAAAAGACAATTCTTTTATGCATTCTATTAATAATTCAAATTCGTTTTTTTTATTAAAACAAAAGCAATAATAAAATATAATTGAAAAAAATTGAAATAATTCATTTACGTCATTTATTATAATTCCACGAAAAAAATTTAATTGTTTTTTACTAAGCACATTGGAATAACTTTCATTACTAATATTATAAAAAATTTCCTTTATAAAATTGATACTTATTTGAAGAACACAATTCAAATAGTCATTTTCTTTTTGAAATTTACAATTATCATTAAAAATGCAATTATTTCCTTTTTCTTTATAATCACATATTAATAATTTTCTTTTCAAATTTTCACATATAAAGAATATAATAAAATTTAATAAATATCTAAAATAAACATAATCATTATGCATACATAATATACTTAATATCTGCGAGTATTTATTTTTTGTTGAATTCATATAATGACTTATTAGATGTTTATCTGTTAAATTAAAATAACTTTCCATTATAAAATTATTTTCATTGAGAAAATTTTCCATAAATCTTCTTTTTATAATTTCAGTTGATTTTTCTTTTAAACACAAAATATTATTATCTATTATATGACTATAATCTAAAGGTAATGAAAATAAAATGTTTATAAAATTATTCCTTATATTTATTTTTTCTTCATTTGAATATAATTTGTAACTCTTTTCAAGTAATTTATTCATGTAACAAAAAGACAAAAAAAATAAATGATCCTTATATATAACTAAATTTTTATCATTATTTATTATATCTGAATACAATATATAAAAAACACTGTAATATTCTGAAATATCTACATTTTTACACTCATTTAAATATTTCACACTAAAAGCATCATTTTTAAGTGACTTTAGAAAAATTTCAATTAATTCTTTACTTTTATTCAATATATTTGAATTATTCATTGTTATATATATTTAAAATTTTAAAAGTTAATGGAAAAAATATTTAAAAAAACAAGTAAAAAAAAAAAAAAAGATAATAAAATAAAAAGAATAATAAAATACACA